AGCAGCCTGAGCGGCCGTGCATTTCCGTAACCGTCCGCTCCCGTTCGTGCTTCCAGTTGCGTTTGCTAATTTTACGCGACCCCAAAGATCGACAGGATCCGTTAAGCTATCGCCTCGTCTGATAGGTTCCGTCAGAGTTCTCGTTCTTGGTGGAGTTGGGCCTGTTCCACCCTAACTCCCAGTTTATACCGGCTCGTCAGTTCCCGGTGAAAAAAGAATTGGCTGGCGCCCGCCTGGCTTGCGGATGCACGAACGACGGGTGTAACGACTCGTCAGTTCCCGGTGAAAAAAGAATTGGCTGGCGGCCGCCTGGCTTGCGGATGCACGAACGAAGGGTGGACGGCCGAAGGTAACGTAGGTCGGTTCTCGAAGATAGTTCGTTCTCGGATGTTTCGCTATCGGTGTCGAGTTAAGGAAAAGAATTACGTTACAGTGTACTGTACCTTATTCGCACGATGCGGTTCTCCGGATCGTGCCAGAAAGGCGGGTTCGAGTCAGAATCGACTGTTAGTAATTTGAGAACGATATCAGGCGGAACAAAAGAAATAAAAGTGACACTTTGTTTTACAAATTGCAAAAGAATAGTATATTGTCCTACAACGGAATACAGAAATGGTTAGTACAGGTCCAGCCTAGAGAATGCTGGATGTTAGTAAGGGAAGAATAGATATAAGCGTAAGCGGAAAGTAGCAGTTATTATAAATAGTATATACAGAAGATTAGTGATCGGAAAATCAATTGTAGCAATATGATGATTAAACGCGGTTTATCTATACGATAACTCTGTCGGCAACGAGAATAATAGGTTCTTCTATTATTCGTGTGATCTTTTCTTGACTCTTGTTGTGATTGTATAAATAAAATATCGAATCGTGTCTGAAAGCAGTCTCCGACGGGCGGAATTTGGTTACAGAGTTGACCCGTTAAAATATATGCGTCGTACTGCTGAGCACTCTTCCACTAGAGAACTCGTGATCGCAGGTAGACGTGGTCCTTTCTAAAACAACGATGCTATCTCGGCGAGGTGAGAAAAGTCCCATTCGCAGAGCAGCCCGTTGTGCAGGTCTTTGAATGAAGTTAGGTTGGCACGTATAGCGGAAACGGCACAATGATCAAACTTATCAAAGTGACGGCCCAACTGAAATGCAGAGATTGATTCTATCTGGCAGAAGAGACGGTTTGCTCGATTACAAGAGTAGAAGTACCATTATAAATGACGGCCAAGTGGGACGGTTTGCCCGCTTGCCCAAGTTTTTAAGGTTCTTCAGATTAGCGAGATCTTATTACTACCGTGATGCGAATATCCTCGGATGTGTTGGTTACAGTACATATATAGATCTTGCTGAACGGCAGCCTTAGTTTGGCAATATTAACTTTGTCAAAAAACGGAGAAGCATACAGCATAAAAATAGAATATATTTTCTCCACTTGTCGCAGATAATACCGAACTTTATCTGCCATTATCCAATAATTGTAATCAACGATATATACTCCACATTTCAGTAGGCGATTCTATTGAGTATGGTACATACTCGCTCATTTATTTAAAAAGAATACAATATGCTTTTTACAATAGGTCACTACCAAGTGCCAGCCGAGTATCAGCCACAGAATCAACCACTGCAAATAACAGGTCGTTCCGATCCAATAATTCTGACCGAACCGCCATCGTTGAACACGACGAAAAAAATGTCAGTGGCCGTCCAAACAGATAAGGACTCAAATTCAAGTGACGAGCAGAAAGGATGGCGACGATTAGTTGCTGCGACTTACAGCGGCTGCAAAAGGTGGCTCAATCAGCAAGAGAACAAAGGACTGAAGCTCGCTCTGATTATATTAGTAGGCTGTGTGGTAGCAATGTTCTGGTATCTAAATGCGCAATTCAAGGAATTTCAACAACTCTCACAGGTAAGGTTGCGAGACAAAGATATCTCTGTCTCTCTCTCCGTCTCTCTGTCCCGCCGTTCGTTTCTCTTTCTCCCTTTCTTTGGTTACATGCTCATTAATGTGTAATATTAAATATTCATTCGCGAACTCGATTTCACTATGTCTTAATCGAGCAATTCGATCAGGGTTCGCGTGAGAGCAGTCGGACGAGTAGCAACGGGAAAATCGGCAACGTGGCCATCGTCGAGGATGTCGGCGAGGGTATGGTCAGAGTCGGAAAAATCACATTTAGCACTGGAGAAGTTCTTGGAAAAGGTTGCGAAGGTACCTTTGTCTACAAGTACGTAATAAAGTATTATTCAATGAGTCCCCTTGGCGCATTGGAACGTATTGAAGACAAATCTGCAATTCGAAGAATGACCTGACTCCATTTACATAGGGGTGAATTCGACGGAAGATCCGTGGCCGTGAAGCGTCTCCTGCCAGACTGCTTCACTTTTGCAGATCGTGAAGTGGCTCTGCTCAGAGAATCGGACGCGCATCCAAATGTGGTCCGTTACTTCTGCACGGAACAGGACAGAATGTTCCGGTACATAGCCTTGGAATTGGCCGAAGCGACGCTCCAAGATTACGTCGCTGGTAGATACGATAAGAATAAGATTTCGGCGAAAAATATTCTCCAACAGGCTACCTCCGGTCTTGCTCATCTACACTTTCTAGATATAGGTGAGCTGTCGCTGCAGACTCCTACGATATCGCGTTTATTCCGGTTGCACGAAATTTTAACTTATATCGCGTCTTCGTCAGTTCACAGAGATATTAAACCACACAACGTTCTCTTATCGATGCCAGGACCTCGTGGCGAGGTGCGGGCTATGATATCAGACTTTGGCCTCTGCAAGAAACTGCAACTGGGTCGAATGTCCTTCTCAAGGCGATCGGGTGTAACTGGAACGGATGGCTGGATCGCACCTGAAATGTTAAACGGCGAGAGAACCACTTGTGCCGTTGATATTTTCTCACTTGGCTGTGTCTTTTATTACGTGCTATCCGGTGGAAAACATCCATTTGGCGATACTCTTAGGAGACAGGCAAACATCTTGTGTACGTTTCATGCGATGGCTCGCTGATTATTCGGAGAAAATAAAGGAGCCTCTAAAAGGCTTTATTTATATTTATTCAGGTGGCGAAAGTTACTTGTCGGAACTCCAAGGTATCTCTGAGAGTGATCGGGAATTGGCTTTGGTTCTTGTCAAGGCGATGATCGCCGAAAATCCAGGAGATCGTCCACCAGCAACTGCTGTTCATAAGTATCCAATATTTTGGAACGCTGCACAGGTCCTGGGATTTTTTCAGGTACGTCGCAGACAATTTAAACGGTGAGTTCAATGGTAACGCCTATTTTCACCCGACAGGACATCAGCGACAGGGTCGAGAAGGACGATCCTAGCAGTCCTGCATTACTATCTTTGGAGAAAAGAAGTAGAAGGGTCGTACAGAACGACTGGAGATCGCACATAGATCACGAGGTGGCTACGGATCTCCGTCGTTATAGAAGTTATCGTGGTGAGAGTGTTCGTGATCTCCTAAGGGCACTCCGAAATAAGGTAACTTCGCTGAAAGAGAGCGTCAGGTAGTCTAAATGCATATAACTGTACCTGATTCCTTGTATCTTTTAGAAACATCACTACAGGGAATTGACTCCAGCAGCTCAAGAGAGCCTAGGCGAGATCCCTGAAAGGTTTACCGAGTATTGGTTGTCCCGGTTTCCACGGTTACTCTGTCACGTCTGGTGTGCCATGCAAGGATTCCGTAACGAACCTACCCTAAAGCACTATTATCATTCCGAGTATGAATTCGTACCAGAGTACGATTATGAAGCCGAGGAGATCGTGAGCAGTCTCATTCAAAGAACAGACTCGCAGTCTGTACCGTCCTGGAGAATTCGCGACGCCGTCGATTGGAGTCCGAACAGGTCGCGATTTCGTGGACAGCGAAAGAAACAAGAGAGACATAAAGCCGAGGAACCCTATGTTTGGACTCTACCGCCAACGAGTTGAAGGGAAGGTGGCCCCATAATGGCTTCATGGGGCGCGTATAAAGAACAGCGTTGGAAAAATAGCTACCTAAAATTAAAAATCTAGTAGAGTAACGGCAAACGGTTTTCGCGAAGTCGTTGAGCACATAGAGTCGTCAGAGCACATTGTTGTCAGAGATGAGAGTTTTTAACAAATGCGAAGACACAATAATAGACGTTTCAATTGGCGATTATGGTAGCACAATCAGCTACACACAGTGTATTTTTTTATCACAAGGGTTTGCTGAGTATAGTCTGTTTTGTGGACGATGTCAGCGGTCACTGAATTACAGAAACGAAGGGAAAATATCACAAAGATGTAATTCGATATTACAGATCGCGTTAATGGTGTAAATAATAAGTAGTGTATAATATATTTTAATATTTTACATAATTCATGTACCTTAATTATAGTTTTCGGTTATTAATAATATTAAAAAAACAACAAATGGAAAAAATATTTCAAGCTTGATTACAAAATAATTGTTTTCTTAGTACAATTCCGTAGCGCATATCGCGTATGCTTAAAGTGTACTTCTTAAATTTGAAACTACTCAATGAATCAGTCTATCGGATTTCCAAATTGCATTCTGTACATATGAAGTTTTTATAAGTAACTTTTGAAATGGTCGTAACTCCTTTCTGAAGGAAAGTGCAAACAGTACTTTACCTTTCCTTAAGTATTTTCACGACATCCACTGACCTACGGTGCTCTGCTTCCTCTAGAGGCGTCACCCCTCTGGCATTTCGAATTCTTGCGTCAGCGCCATGCCTAACGAGTGTCTCGACCATTCTATGATTATCCATTTTCACAGCCAAATGTAATGGCGTGTCACCAGAACTGTTTCGTACATTTACATCGCAGCTGCCGCTTTTTAATAGTAGCTTAACTACGTGTAATCTATCATTAATGCAAGCCAAATGCAAAGCCGTACTTCCTTCCGATCGCGTTCTACTCCCTAGATCGGCACCGGCATCCAGAAGCAACTGTACGACCTCAATGGAACTTGATGCACTTGCTACATGGAGCGCAGTCATACCGTCTCCGTCGCACGAATTGATTCCCACTGGGGAACACTGCTGATTCTCCTCGTAATTATCGTCGCTGGATGCGCACAGCTCACAATTGCACAGAGGATGGCAGAGATTCTTAACCCGTTCCGAAGGTTTCTTGTATGAACACTCTAGGCCAAGATAGTAGCACGCCAGGCGAACGTCATTCTCCCTGACTGCCGTTAGGAGTCTGTCAACCTTACGTATTTTTCTTGTGGAAGTACTTGCCTCGGAAATACTTTCGGAGGACGCAAGACTTCTTGGTCGCGGAGATGGTGGCAGGAACGACATGTCCGGTATGGGCTTGCATCGTGTGTGAGAATGCGGATAAGATGATATCCCGGCTTCGAGAAGTCGAGATATGACTGCACTGTGTGCCACTGCTAGTGGAGTTTGTCCTCTTCTATTGCTTGCCCTAGGATCTGCGTTATGCTCCAGTAGAATCTCCACGATGCCACTGTAACCCCATTTCGACGCGTGATGGAGCGGTGTATCACCGTTATAGTTAACAGGACTCGGGTCCAGGAAGAGTCGTGCCTGTTCTGCAAAATACAGCAAGGCTTTCACGCAGCCTTTGTGTCCGTTGTCTGCGGCCAGATGAAGTGGTGTATTTCCCCGCATGTCAACAATCAGTGGATCGGCATTTGCATGCAGCAGCAGCAGCAACGTATTTTGATGACCGCGTGCAGCTGCGCAATGCAACGACGTTAGACCATCCGCGTCCGCTTCATTAACGTTGGCCTCGTGCAAAAGAAGCGTCTCGAGAACGTTAATACGATTGTAAAGGGACGCCACGTGAAGAACAGTCAAACCGCGATCATCCCTCGAATTGACAGTTGGCAAGTCGCAAGTCTCGCAAAGGCACAAGGGATGACAAAGATTTTTCTCGTTTTCCGCATTGCACTTTTTTTTTGATAATATTTTATCGACTTTAACGGAATCGCCATTGCGTGCACATTTGAATAAATAACTCAAAGATGTGCCGCTCTCCTTTTTGCTTTCTAGAAAGGTGTGCATTGAGCTTTGGTCGAGACTCGTAGCATCCGATTCAAGATCACCTGATCCTATGAGAACGCCCGATTTCACGTGCTCTACAGCGGCTTCCAGAGATGTCACAAGGAATCCAGCCTCGTCGGTTTCATAGTTAGAGTTTGCCGAGAAGCGGAACTGCTTCATAAACGCAAGTTGGCTGATCCAATTTGGTAAGCCGGCTCTGATCACCAGGAACACGAGGACCGGTAAAAGGTCATCAGACGAAACGGATGATTTGCCCCGCGAAGCAAAACCTACAGCTCTCTTTAGACAACCCAATTTCCCCAGGACTGTAAAGTGCCCGTCCAAACGAGAGAGTTCTAACTTTCCAGCAAGAACACCATCATAAAGATCCGCACGAATTCCAAGATCTCTTGGTTGCAATTCACACAGATTTTTTATTGTCTTATTGAGAGCAGCATCTTCAGATGCTGTACACGATGATACCGATCGTGGTAGAATTTTATGCAAACCATGCAGAATATATGTCTCAACTGCAATCTTTAAGATCTGAAGAAAATGATGGCTGCTTGTTGTTCGTTCTCTAATCCTCATGTCTTTGAATACTGTTCGAAGGCTCTTAGTATATAAAGCCCTCACTAGATCCCTTTGGCTATCGAGAGTCTCACTCTCCAAATGTATGTAGAGCTTTTGAAAATTATCGATTCCGGAATCCAATTCTCTCAAAATATTCTTGTCCATCACTTCAGTCCATAGCAAATCTACACAATCCCTCAGATTTGTTACCAATGAGATTGATTCTTTGGAATCGACAAAATTTTGTTGCAAGGGATGTTCGATACACCTGAGAATTCAAATAAATTATACCTAAATAAGAGGATATCTCTTTGAAGGATATTAATGGTAGTTACTTCCGATCACTCACCATACACGATACTTACGTAGATCCTCTGTATAAAATGTTTCCTCAAAGAGTAAATGGGATGAACAGTTTGTACCAACATCGTACTCCATTGTCAGTACTCTATTAGATAGTTTGACTTCTCTCCCAGAAAGCGAATGAAAGTATGATACAGGTTGTTCTTTACCAGGTATCAACACATGACTCAAAATATCATCCTTCACCAGAGCACCTTTAGGGATACTACCACGACGGGGCACGCAAACGATCCATCCCTCGTTAATGGCTCTTTGAAAAATCAAGGCATGCTCCTGTTGTAGCTCCTGCAGGAAAGTATTCTCGGAGAGGTCTTCGTCGTAGTTTGCTTCCATAGTTCGTTCGAGCCATGAATTGGCAATTTTTCTCACGTAGTATGAATGAACTCGCCCCCTCAGAAAGAAACCGGCCGATCCGAAGAGGCAGGTAAGAACTGATGTCACATTATCCAGCAAACACATATCGTTACCATAGTGTAACGTGTTAAGGCTCCTCCGGACCTAGACGGACCATGTTGAATTATGACGTCACAAGCGAGGAAACGTATTTTTCATCTTTTATAGAAACTATCAACTTCCCACGACTTATTTTGGGCGAATTTATTTCGTTATATACGTTGTCTGCCATTTATACTCCGTTTGAGCCTCCTGAACATATATTTAACCTTGAAAATGCAACGAAAAGAAAAGTCGTATATCTGTATCTCACGTCTGTCATGCGCCTCAAAAATACTTACTAGTGTATTACGCGTTTACCACATTTGTAATATAATAACGGAGCATAAATTTCGGCGCACGGACGGAAAATACATTGTGCTACAGCTTTCACGATCGAAATATGCAAGACGGCTGTAAGAGGTGAAATATACGATTCGCACTATTTAATGTTAATTTTTACACTTAGAGATATCAATATATTCTGCTAGATGTCGTTCCACGATAATTTATTCCATTAGCAGACCGTTTTTCTGTTTTAGCCCGTAAAACTAATAGTAATGAAATTTCGATAAAAAGGAAGCACCAAGCAAACGATTGCATGATAGCTTTTCGCTTTTCGTATTGTGTAAAAAAAAAATGTAATCAAGAGCATTCCTGAGGTGGCCTCACTGTCAGGAGTTGGTTGGTGATCCCGTAAAATACCACTAGCAGCGCATATGTTTCAAAAGGCGCGAATTACAATCAATACTAGTGATCTCTAATGAATGGAGGAAAGAGAGAAGAGAATATTAATTGCATAGGTAATAGCTGGCGATAGATCTATTCGATTCTATCCAATTCTATCGATCTAGATAAATGTAGGAAAGAGTAATACCCTACTCATCTCTGGTAATACGATGTATCAACTTACGCAATACGTGATAGAAGTCCTAAGAAAAGATACTATAGAATGTACCCTATGTGGATAAAAGTCAAAGATAATAGAAATCATATCAAGGTATTTCAAGGCTATCGTCATGGACTGGAATTGGTTGGGACGATCGGCGTCTGAAAATGAAAAATCGACGACAAAGTGGTGTAAATGTGAATACTGATTGGCCGATATATCTAAGTGAAATTTATAACAATGGTAATCCCTATAAAACAACCCAAAGTGCATGCGGGATTCGACGGAAAAACGACAGTCCCATAACATAACAGTAAAAACCATGTATAAATTTATTCAGCATTAACATTAATATTGTTTTCTCTCGGCGAATAATTTTAGATAATACTTAAAATCTGTACAAATGGCCGTTCAATTAGCTTGTCTCAGCGTCATGAATGCCAGAGAATTTCCAGGTAACTATTTTTTCGATGTTATGAAAAAGTCATCCAAATGGGTTACATATGTCCGCTAGAAAGTTATCTGTAATCTAAGCCGACTAATACGTCTAATATCTTTATAAAGCCTTTTTGGCTGACATATGTAACATCGAAAAAATTGCTACTTGGGTTAACACTGTCAATACACTGTCAACGGCCATTTATATATATATATATATATACACACAAATATGACTCATCGACAAGCGGTCCTATTGCGTAGAAAGTAATCTGTATAATGGAAGAGCAATGGTCCAATGGACAATATGGTGACCCTTTGAAGATATAGACTTGAGAGCCTGAACGACGCGATACCGAAGTGGCTTCCATAGGCATTCCATGAGCAATTAGTCTCCATGAAGGGTGCAGAGGGGGTGGAATGTGGAGTAGATGACAGCGCGCAGCTCCAGATTAGTTTCTTATATTCACTATAGTTTTTAGGGTATAATGAAGGGTATTATAAAATGTCACAATAGACATTGGCGAATACCGAAAATCTGGCTCAATACAATTTTCATTAGGGAATGGACATGTGGAGAGACCAACCAAGTTCTGTTAAAAATTACTCCTCACCGCTATTGACGTCCACGAGTGCGGGGTCGACCTCCGGAGAATCCGTATTTGACGATTTCCTATATCGATATTCGACTAGGCAGAAGGCCACTGTGCCCATGAACATCGCTATCATAAGGATGCACAATTGGGTGTGCAATCCAAGGTGGCTGCTGTATAAGAAACTGAGCGCAGCAGCAACGGATTGACAAAATTTGAAGAGAGCGAAAGCCGGGGCGCTATCTGTAGAGTAAAGTATACCAAGGAGAGAGTAAACCTGAGTATTGAAACAGGCATCGCCAAACCCTAAGGCTGTGGAGCCGACCATTGCGAGGGCGGCAGAGGGCGGATTGATGTAGCCAACGTTATCGGTATCCTGAAATGGGGCGTCATTCGGTAAATTAAGATAAATTGTGACAAAGGCGAAAGTATGGACAATGAAACCAATTAGGACGATCGGATAGCGGCCGTATTTGCCAGTTTTCGAGGCCAAAATTCCGAAAAGAGCACCACCAACGACCTCACCGATACCAATGCAAATGCCTGAGAGACCCACTAGGCTTTTCGAATTCTTCCCAATGGCTTTTGTGAATCCAATGCTCGGGGAATAGACTCCCGAGGCGAAAGTCAGTACTACGCCTGTGTACAGAAATGTGAGAGCAAAGAGAAGCATACGCCTCGTGAAGAAGAGCTTAAAAGCATCCCGCAGAGCGTGCCAGGCAGCGCTCAAGGGCCTCTCGCGCATTGGCTCAGGTATCTGAAGTTCCTTATCTGCACTGGAAACTCCTTCGGCTTCTCCAAGGGCTAATTTACGTGGCGCTTTTCTAAGGGTAGCTAGAAGAGCAGTTCCTATTGTTGAGAGTACCGTTAAAACCCAGAAAACAAGGTTCCTGGTGGATGCCTTTATAGTCGGCCCGGTAAACATGAAGTAAACGAAAAGATTTCCAATGAACAGGGAGGACTGGAAGATGGCCCAAAATATTCCAGCGTTCCTGGACATTGTCTCGCTGTCGCTGTTTTCCGTGAGGTACTGTCCATGTCCAGTCCATATCAGAGCTGCACCAATGCCAAGGACAGCCGAAGCCACGTAGAGCAGAACTGTATGCGGCCAGAGGAAGGACCCTATGAAGAAGATGTAGCAGCAGCAACCGGTCAAGATTGCTGTTCTTGGACCAGTCATTGAGATGTAAGATGGTGCTAACCAATTGCAGGTGGCGAAGACTGCGTAGATGATGGCCAAGCTGGTATATCCATCCCCGGAAAAGGACGGATCGTCCTGGGATATACTTTCCAGAACCGTTTTCTGCGGACGCGAGCGTGAAACAAAGGAATAAGGAAAGATAAATTAATGCCACACTGATACAAATTTCTATTTGAAAAGGAATAAAATTAATGAAATAAATGTACACTATGATGGGTGAATATTCGAAAACAGAATATAAAAATTAATTGACTGCAGTATATTAAATTAACGCAACAGTTGATGTTTTAATGAACAACAAATTGAACAGTATAATTTAAAAGTTAATTTATTCTAGTAAATTAAATTCGATCTACGGTGAGTAAATTTCTATGATTAAGTGGAGGATGATATTGGTAAATTAATATACTCAAATATATCATATTTTGTTAGGTTAGGTTATTCACAAACGTGTCGAAAATTTAAACAAAACTTTATTTCATTTTTATTATAACTAACTATACCACCAATAAAAATATTTTAACAATTGGAAAAATGTGTTTTACAATTTACAGCGCAAACAAAATGTTTGACACGTGCATAATCCGGACTCAATTACCATTTAACCTTAATATAATTTTTCAAAAATTAATTTTGCAGTCAATTGTATCTTTCTTTCTGTTGTCTGAAAATATTAAGGTGTCGCAAGATTCTGAGAATGAGTCCATCCACGCGATTAGTCTATAGGCTGTTACAGATCGCCGTCACGTTTCTCCTTTCTCGCTTATCCACTTTCTGTCTGAGGAGCGCCTTATCGCAGGCATTGTTGTTTTCCAAACCTATGAAAAACGCTCCCCTCGTGATAACGCGATAGGTCTTTTACGATGGCCTAGATCAAGACTGATACCAGTGTCGTCGAATACAGGCAAAAGTGGATATAGGACGCACGTCTAACAATAAGCCGCAGAATAGAATAGGATTAATAGCGAAATTCGAAAGTCGGTAGCCGCATTCTTCATGTATGTATGTACATACGTATCCTGAAGCCGATATGCCTGTGTCACTCCTATAGCGAGAAAGTATCGGACAGCCATTAGAACAGATGTGCGAAGCAGGACCCGGCTAGGTCTTACGATAGCAGTGTTCGTCAAATATGCATATGAGACACTTGGATGTATTCGAAGAGATTAGCCGACGGGGACTTTCGGCCTTGAAGAACATTAAATATTAACAAGTGTCAGCTAAAAAAAATGAATTATTGGTGGCAGTGTAGTACGGACGTCATCGTAGCTATTATAACTCGTAATCTATATCCAGGTCGATGATATTTACTTAAATGGCAGTACGCATAGGCCATTCAATACATGCGCTCATAGTACTAAGGTCACTGTACGGAAAGACGTCTTCCCGTTAGGGGTTATAGGTCACGTAAAGAAACAAAGGAGGAAGACAGGATGGTGCGCGCACGCACATATGAAACTAGGTGAAATATCATTAATTCTCTTATGCAGTGAATGTCACAGTGATAAGTTCGTAAAACTGCAGTCTCTCGTCGCGAAACCGGTTATTCGCGCAAGAATTATCGGATTCGCGCAGGATCTGAGTAGAACCTTTCGAGTTAGCCTGCTGCTATGATACAAAACTTATTTGGCAAAAAGAGACGCGTCAACCGGATCCTAACGCACTTTCCATTTCACCGCGAGGTACATTCTCCAAGTTGAGTATATACAGAAATGGCCTTGATCTCTTGCATTCACGGAAAACTCGAATCACGTTAATTGATCGATCAGGGCATCCGAAGGGGAAGTTCATTCATACGCGAGTGATGCACAGGGTAGACGACCAGTTCATTCTGAAAAGGAAACGGGCATAAACAGGCACATTATCGTACGGCACTTTCCCATTGTACGATTCACGTGTTCATCTTATGAGTTATCGAGTCGCACGATTAGATGCATCGATGAGAAAGTTATTAACAAACAGAATGCATCGACCTTTTTAAGCATTAGGAAATGCCTCGCATCATACCTCAACATGTGTATCGATATCATCTCCGCAAAACCTTGACGAGATGATTCACAATTCTACAATTCTCCAGTCGTTTATCGGATTCTCTGTATTTCAGAGATGTGCCACATAAAACACCGCTAAAAACGCAGCAGAACATTCGATTGTTTCTTGTCGACTTGTCTGAAACTGTACAACGGAGTTATAGTATTAGACACAGAGTTCTTTTTCAATTCTGTCACATTCCGTGTAACTGCGATACGGAAGGAAAGTGTGTACTTCGTCCATATAATGGTGCCGCTAAAATTTACAAGGTTTTTAAGCATCCTGAGAAGCGAAAAAGGGAACGGAGCTGCACTAGGAGAAGACGCGCATTCGAATGACAAGTGCGTTTGTTAATAAACAGTATGGATCTTCACGAAGACGCTGTCGAACGCGCCATGAGCAGGCATTGACTGTATGTACATACATGAATCGTTTTCATCGGTATCCTGCTACGTTCTGTTTCAACAGGGATAAAAGGATCCATGAAACTTTGGACGTAATGCAAGGGGTAAAAGTTGAAGCTGCTTGCTGTACTCACCTCGATATTACCCATAGTTTGAAAGGCTGTAAACACCAACATAAAGCCCCAGCTGAGGACCATCACGTTGAGGAATCTCTTTTCGAAAATCATTATTGCGATGGAAACGTTTCAGGGTTACAGTATGGAAGGCAGCGTGAGAATTGAGCTGAGGATATAGCGTGGAAGTATTCACGTTCTACTGATTGCAGGTGGTCGGATTTTTTGTACAGACTGTGCTCGTGGCATAAGTAAAAGTGAAAATCTGTCGAGGCGTCAGAATACTGACAGCAGTCCAGCGCAGGCTGGAGCGGGTCGCTTGGGATTGCCCACCATACGACAAAAATACTTTGCTTCTACACTTGAAGTTAGCACCGCCTCGTGTCATTCTCTAATCAACATCGATACGGTCGATTCGAGAGAAATCGACTGAAATAAACTGACCAGAACTGTCAGATTCATAGTCGTCGGACACATGCACCTTAATTGATGCACCACTGTTCAACGTTGAAGGCCAGTACACGGAACGTAGATTGAACAGCTTTAAATTGAACAATATTATTTTCTTAGCAGATTTATTTGGATAAATAGCAAGTCACTGCAGCCTAACTTGATAGGTTCTGCTACCTTATTCTTGATATCACTTGACACTGTCGCATGCAACATTCATTGTAGTTCCCGGTTCTGACGTTGGTGGGTTATCATCGAGTAACGGGAGGCGCTGCGAGCGCCCAACCACCAATGTCATTTGCGGCAATGTTTAGTAATTTCAGTAATTTCGATAAAAGGGTTCCTGATCTCTGCCTTTTTTTTCGGAAAGACAATTAATGATGCCTATATTACAACTCTTTTCCTTCCTGCTGGCACATCTCCTCATTGGAGGAGTCAGCCATAAGGAAAGGAAGGAAGGAAGGAACTCTTTTCCTTCATTCGATCCCATTGATCACATCTGTAAAACCGTTGACTCAGGAGGTAAATAAACTCGGTATCTTATTGTATATGACGTTGCACGAGCTTGGGTGTTGGTTACCTACAAATGGACTTTACCCATTGAAATCCTATATACAGATATATATTCTACATATCAGAGTCCACGCAGTACAGAAATACTTAGAGGGACATGATTAGGTCTGTTTATATTCAGACAATGGTAAAACTGTCCTCGAGATATTGGAGAAATTTAGATTGCTCGTTGTCGATAAACCTATTAAAAATCACGTATAGGTTGACTTGATTAATAGTATCTGCAGGTATCTTGTGTATGTTGTAATGCCGTGTTTGTTCGATTGGCTGGATCGTTAGGCTCGTATGAACTTTCTTATGTTCGATTCAAATTTTCTGTATGCATTGAATTGCACTGAACTGCTATTGGACTTACCTATCGAGTAGACCTCATGACACTCGTGCGATGCAGTGCTTGCACTGGCTTGCACCCAACAAATTTAGATCTTACACCTGGTGCAAGATATTTCGACAAATCGAGAACGCTATTAGAATGCGCTCTATGATTTGAGCTAAAACGTTTCATCGGAATACAATTGACATTGCATGCTAACTTGAATCGACTTTCGCACCAATGGCGCAAATTACATAGATTGGCTTATCTGCCGCCGCTCGAAGAGTGTCGTGCGTAATCATAGGTGTCGCTTGTGAAGATTTCGGTGCGCTAAGCATTATGACGGATCGGCTCCGTCGAATGTACGAATGTCGTGTACGTAAGTGGAAGACTCTTCGTTTTGCTGTGCTCTTCATTTCGAGGACGTGCTCTAGGTATGTGCCCGGGCCGGCACGGGAAGAACGCGCATGCCACAGTGATCCCAGAGAAATCTTCAAGGAAAGTATCGCGCCGTGAAGGCGGTGGGCGGTGTTACTGCAATTTCATCCAAGTGTCAACCGTCCTCAAGCAACCATGAAGAAACAGTTTTTTCGAGTAAAGCAACTCGCCGATCAAACCTTCTCCAGGTAATTATTGTCGCGTTTACTGTACGCGTTGCGCTCTACAGTAATAGCAGCTGACACTGGGCTTTGTAATAAGTGTAACACCACCTCTCGACAATTCCCTTCGTTCTGGGGATACACTAAGTATAATGTATTTGTCATTAGGTAGGATGTAGTAACAATTTTTTTTATTACATACTTGTTGATGTTTTCTATCCGCTCTATATGATCATGATGATATAAGAATTTCAGTTATTCGCAACATTTTAAGAATTGTCAGATGGCCAGTTTATCGAGAATGATAAGATCGAGCCAGTCAATTGAGAAAATAGATTTGCAATTTGAAGGCTGATATACATTAGAATGTCAACATTGTTGTCTTTTTGTTTCAGAGCTGGAAGAACAGAAGTTCTGACCGATGATTTGCAAGCAGCAGATAAACACGTGGAGGAAATAAGAGCTGCGCTGACAGGTCTCAGCAAACGACTGGGTAGTCCACCTAATCAGACCGTGGCACAGGATCCAGCTTACAAAGAGAAACGCCTGGTGAGGACACAATTGCTCTTGGTGTAGATGGTCATCTGGTGGACATATTAAATGCGCACCTACCCGTCTTATTCGATTTTACGTCTTATCAGATCGAAGAATCGACAATTGCGATATAGCCATTCATTTATTAGATGGAAACTAATCTTTTTATCACGAGGCGATCAATACATTTACGAATATAATCAGAGGCAGACAGATCTCTAGAAATTTCGAAATTCTGGAACACTTCTCCTATCCTCAGAAAAAATGTCCGGAGTACGTGCTCGGTCAAACAATGCTGGAGAACGCCGCGGAGGAGGGTCTTATGAGTTTTGCTCTCTCGGAATGCGGAAGAGCTCAAATAGCGTTGGCTCAGGAGGCCGTAGAGCACGAGGCTAAGGTAGAGCAATACGTAGCAGTGCCACTTCATTGCATCCTTGAAACGGATGTGCCGAATATCCTAAAGCATAAGAGAAACTTGGCACGTTTAACATTGGACATGGATAGTGCAAGGACCCGGTACCAGCAGGCTAGTAAACATAGTGCTGGTGGTAAGTAGTACCTAGGTGTGCAAAGTCGTTCCAAATTTTAAAATATTGAATTTCAGGTGCCGGTGCAACAAAGGTTGACAGCCTTCGCGAAGAGCTAGAGGACGCCGAGACAAAAGTCGAACAGTGTAGAGATCAGCTGGCTGCCGAAATGTTTCAACTGATGTCGCGTGAAACTGAACTTGCTCAAACTATCGTACAGTATGTAAAACTGCAACGTGCCTATCACGAAAGTGCACTTCACTGCTTAGAGGACCTTATTCCGGGCCTGGAAAGTTATATCAGTGAGTTCCCCGTAGCGTCAAGGCGCCCAAATCCAAGTCAACTTGTAACTTAGTTCATTCATTCAGATGACAATGAGATGAAACCAGTCTATGGCTATCCTCTGGAGGAGCATCTAAGAGTTACGAATAGAAAAATCGCTCTACCGATTCAGCTGTGCGTTTCGGTCCTCCTGAGGCTCGGAATGGAAGAGGAGGGCCTTTTCAGAATAGCCGGTGGCGCTTCTAAGCTGCGAAGGATCAAATTGAGTCTTGATGCTTGCTGTCTCACTCTACCGACGGCTCTGGAGTATAAGGACCCGCATGTGGTGGCAGGAGCGTTAAAATCGTACCTGCGGGAATTGCCGGAGCCTCTGCTCACATACAAGTGAGTACACATCTAATAATAGGAATTCGTTCAGTGCGAATGAGTCGATGACCTAATAATAGAGATAGCGCATACAGCCGTTACACGGATAGTCGAATGTGAATCACTTTCGTTGCAGCAAATGATTAACATGCAGGCTTACATTTCTTTTCTCTGATTACCGCACCGATACTATTAGTCTCAAAATAATATAGCGTGCCTTCATTCTCGAAGAAACGATTTTTAATATTCTACATATCTTATAGTATATATATATATTCGTTCCGATAAAAAGCTAAGGGGTCGTATATATAAATCAAGCTCGACTACTCATCAATTTATGAGAAAAAAGCAAAAGAAAAATTTCACTTCTACGATACAATTCTATGAAACGATATAGGCGCTCATAGAAACCCAGGGCTGTTCCTCAACGTGAATTCTATACTTTGAATAAGCTCGCTGAGTTATTAGTATTTCTCTTAGGCCAACTAATGCGACCGTAAAGACTTACTCCGTTCACGTAGAAGACTGTATGCGTGCCAAATGATACAGCGATGTGACTCTTCAAACTGATAATTGCCCGAGGATCATCATTTATCAATGTGATAATATTACGCATTAATTTCATATGTACAGGTTGTATTCTGAGTGGATGGCAGCTGCAAAGATAACGCAAAGTGATTCCAGACTGCGTGCTCTCTGGGAGTTGCTGCACAAGTTGCCACCTGCGAACCTGGAAAACCTAAGGTTTCTCATTAAATTCTTAGCTGTGCTAACGAAGAATCAGGATGTGAACAAAATGTCACCGCAGAATATAGCCATCGTTATAGCTCCCAATCTCATTTGGAGTCCTCAGGAGGACGTGAATACTATGGTGTAAGTAAATGCACGGGATAACCTCTTCAGCTGTATATATGTATATACCAACAAAGTACGCAGAAATGAAACGACACGCGGTACGATAATTCCGAGCATTGGCATTGCTCCTCTTTTTATTTCAGGATAAACATGAGTACAGCTAACAACTCTAGTCTTATAGTAGACCAGCTGATCACGTACGCTGATTGGTTCTTTCCGGGCGAAGTGGATTTTGATCGTGACTTGGACATAGGTATCCTTAATGGTTCGGAGAATCAAGTATTAGAAATGCGTCGTGCTGTATCCAACAGTAGTCTAAGCGATCATGGCGAGAGTCCACCACAAGGAAGTCCAAAGCCAGCAACTCGTAGAAAAAATAAACCAGCACCAACACCACCAGGAGGCACCCCGGATAGGCATGATGTCCGAAGATGTGACGACAAGCCTCCACCAGCTCCAGATAAGCCACCGAGACCCTTGATTACGACTACCTTAAATCGAAGCACGTATAAGTCCTCAAAACAAGATATCCCTCCAGAACCTGTGTTAGCGCATCACGACACTAGATCTGATAAGCCTGAAAAGAGTCTTGAGATTGATGTAAAGCCCTTGGGATTCGAAGTCATCTCCAGAACCGACGTCAATTTCGTAGAATGTCCCGAGAGGACAGTCGATTCGCGCAGCCCCGCCCAGGAAACTGTGAAGTCTGATCTCAGGACTGATAGGAATGTCCAAGAGGTGAAGCACAACGTGCTACTTGGATTCGAAGCTCTTAATCTAAAAACGACCACGGAAAGCTCCTCGCCGAACAGACCCACTGTCGAATTGGAGCAATTCGAAGTGCCGCACTCTAAACCGAAGCCAGTGCCTGCCGAAAAACCATCGCCGTCTACTCTCGAGAGGCGAAGGATACCAGTAGCAGCACCAAGAAATATAGGGAACTTAACGCAGAATAACGCGACTGGTAAGTTGGTGCTGATTACTTAATCTTTCCCGCCAGTTCCAAAGTTCTGCCTTCGTTGAGTTTCGTGAATTCTAATGCGTGCCAGTAAATGCTATTGAGTATAACAATATGGAGAATTCATAACTTTTAAATGATTTTACATATCGACGCAAGCCTCCGCAGTACTGCAGTGCGAGAGGGTGAGGGTCTCGAAAATTCATATTCCCCAGCATTCTCTATTTGTTTAATCAGAAGACAGTGTTGAACTGCGTAAAAAATCCGAAGACAACAGCTTACAAACGAATGTAAGTAGCATCGAGAGGCCAACAAGTAAACCAGCAATTCCAGAGAGACCGGCCGGACTGGTTCGCCCTTCTAGTCTGATGAGGCCACCACAACATCGTCAAAGTAACGAGAACCTCGATGGCGAGTCTGGAGTAAGTACAAAAGATTGAATACCTTGCATAATAATTTCAGCCGTATTTTAAACCTAGAAAGATGACCTTCTTCTAACTTAAGTTTTGTTTATTTGGGCTTGGTAGTAAAATTCAGGTAGGTTATCCTTCTGGGGTTAATGGCTTTGCATAAATTCCAATGGAATATCCATCGGAAATCTCCTCGATATCAACTATACAATTTTTCTTCTACAGCCCCTAACATTGGAACGGGCACACGTGTATTCGGTGGACAAACAACAGGTTAGTATAATACAAGTGCGTGGAAATGGCACCAGTAGCAACAGCTCCGCCGAGAGCAATGGCAACACGGCTTCGAACTTGCAGAGAAGTCCTAGCGTGGGCAGCAGGCCTACGTCTATGTCTCTATCCAATGATCGACCGGAGAAGCCACCGCGACCGGATATGCCGGAGCAGACTAAGGCCCATGCGAGGACGCGATCCGAAGGAAATATTATTGATGTTCAAACCCAGACCGAAACAGTGATCGTTTCTAAATCGCCGCAGCAGCCGCCACCAGCATCCCCAAGATTTTTACAAAGGCCACCGAGACCTCAACCTCCACCACCTCCCCCGCCGACGACACGTCCTAAATCCGAACAAGAAAGCACTAATCTTTAAAATAATCTGTTATCTCAATTACGTGAGGATTTTGCAGAGAGGGAGAGAGAGAGAACGCTAGCCCCCCCCCTCCCGCAAATCCTCTCAGTTAACTGATTCTTTTAGCGGAGAAAGCGTGGGTCTATATATTTTCTCCTAATATGTACAATGACAAGCGCCAGTTGAAGATTTAACACCTCTCACCTCTCGATTTTATTCTTTTAAAGACCGTCCTGCTTTACAATTGAGAGACACGACGGGATCCTCTTGGGTCAGACATATTAATCGCAACTCATCGGCGCGTTGCTCCACATTGTTCATACATTTTCAAGCAGACTATACCTGGTCGTGCGGCTGGCAAGATCAGGAAGCAGTGCCCGGCCCAAATATGATTTTGAAGGACACTGACACGTGTACAGGACGAAAGTTTTGATTGCTCATTCGAATTATTGAACAAGAATTGGCCCTGAAATTTTCTCGAGAGTGACTGCAACGATATTTTCTTCAGTGATCCAGTGCGACTTGGCGAAACAAGTGCTCAGCTTGAAAAGTAGAAAGGGCGCTTTCGATGCGAGAAACTTTTGGATATACAAAATTAGGAATTTCAAGACATATAGACATATATTTTCATGCGACTGGACGAAGGAATACATTGCGTCGACTACAAAACGAAAAAGAAGTGCATTTTAAGAAAAAGTAACGAAATTACATAATTAGGACTTAGGAAATGGAGTAAGACTCAAATCATGCTAGTCATCAGCTCGACACACCAGCTGGCTAGCAGGAGCTTACATTTTGCTCCGACTTCCGACTCCCGGAAATAATACTAGGTTATAAGCATCTGTAGTGTAATAACGTGAGGAAATTTGGAGTTCGCGTTCAATCGTGTATGAGATATGCAGTAAACGCCGAACACGAACGTTTTCTTGGAGAAAAAATTGCTTAGCTTTTATTTTACCATAATCGACTCTTGGCTGACTATTTAAGCAACACACGTCCTGCGTGTCTCGAGAGAGATCGTAATTGCGTAAACTAATTTTTTTTTGGTTAAAATTTTCCAAGTTTATTCAGTTGTAGAGAGTACTTCTTAGTCGGAAAAGAGAGAGAGACTGTTTTTTGCTTCATCATTATATCTCAAGTTCTCGTCCGATCTGTTTTTTCAAAATCCCTTGTTATAACATTGCGTTTCTTTAACTCCTGTCAAGTTGAAGGTAAAGGTTTGCCCTGTCCCTAACGTTACATTTTATGGAGCAGGCAGTTAAGGACTTGTGCGTAAAAGAAAGGACTGTGCCTCTTTTTTCAAATATATACATATATATATATATATATATTTGCTAGGATCGGTTGTTACGTAACGTCGACGTGCATCGAAACGTCGGCGGTAAAGCACGCATTTACCTAAGGAAAGCTTAGGCTGTGAGTACATTGGAGTATTAGAGGATTTACTTGTACATAAATAAAGCATTTCTCTACTCAAAATATGATCGATATGGATGTCCTTCTTATCGACTTTGAGGTTCACAGATGTTACTTTTTTTTCAAAATTATTTATTAATGTATTATAATAACGTGTCGCGGATACAAGTGCATTACACGTAACGTTTTGCTAATCGACTGTACTATAAGACAGCGGCCACTTCATCGTCAGCAATGTGTCTAGGAGTCAGACCTTCGTTGTCGGCGATAAAAGTAGCACCCACAGAGAGGAGATATCGCACGGCTTCAATATGACCGCAGGAAGCTGCAAAATGCAATGGGGTTTGCCCGCCGCCATCCTGAGCATCGACATCAGCACCCCTTTCCACGAGACATTTTAAAGTTGGTACATGTCCTCTATCAGCAGCCCAATGTATGGGTAGCATGCCATCTTGATCTGATCGGCTGACACAAGCAGGATCTCGGGACAGAGCTTCTTGGACCATGCCAACGTCCCCGTCTTTCACCCAATCCAGTATGGTCTTGTCAATGTCCCTCAATTCCGCATCCGTGTTAGGAAGTCTGCTAACGGCAACCCACGCCTGCGATTCCGCTCGGGCATCCTGTTCCCAGGTTGGATCCAATTTACCCACTGCACGTATATAACTTCCCATGGCGATTTCTCGGCTCATATCGCCTAGACTCTTCCAGGCCTCCCACTTGTGCTTGGCCTGCGTTTGATACCAGTTCGGTCTTGGGCTCTCACAAGAACCCTCGGTAGCCTGCTTATATAGAGCATAAAATCCGAGAAGTTGACCGGAATCTAGTCGTGCAGCAAGGGATTGAAGATGACTCGCCGCCTTAGTGAAGGTCTCCTCCAGGTCTGTTACTTCAGTATCCTCGCACTCTGCCATAGTTGATCGACTACGTTTCTGTCAATACTTCTACTGAACCGTTGGCGCCACGTTTAACTCGTGGCCCTCCAATTCCAATTTTTGGCGGCTGCAAACAGTGTTGACAATATTTTTCGACGTAAATGTCACGAAACCGTAACCCTTGCTGATGCCGGTCTTCTTGTCAACGATAAGTTTAGCTGCGACCACGTGACCAAATTCAGAGAAGTATTTCTTCAAGTCCTGTTGACTCACTGTCCACGGTATATTTCCAACAAAGATCCTGTGGACTTGTTTCACTGCATTTGATGCCATGTCAAAATACAATTGCTATTACGATGCCCTTCGAATATCTAGTAAGTGTATAGTGTGATCTTGCATTAAATCATGGATACTTATACCAGAATCAGTACCCAGTTCAGTTAGAGAAATCTGAGTACAAATAAGACCCCACTTGTTTAAAAGATGTTCAATGGACCAATCTGCACTACGCTCCTGATATGTACAGAGAAACTTTGCAGAAGGATTGCGTTCCAGAAGAAATGCTACCGTAACCACAATGTCCTCAAACACAATAGGATCATAAAAGCAATCGGAGCCCAAGATCAAATCTAAAGGACCAACGGTAAACAGGCCAGAAAGGAAGAGTCCCCAAGTAATACCAACAACCTTAACTTGTGACAAGACACCATTTAATTCACAGCTTCTTCTTATGTGCTGTAAGCTTCGTGGAAAGCTTGCAGAGTCACTGAGCGTTACGTTTGCACCACACTTACTGGCTAATATGCCAGGTAGAGCAGTTCCTGAACCAAGTTCCAACACTCTCTTGCCGACGAGTTCCTCGCGATGTTCCCACAAGAACCAAGCGAGAACTGGAGCTGATGGCCAGGTGTAGAAACTGTAGCTTGCCTGGAGCAGCTGTAAGAAAACAGTAACTCCACATTAAAATGATGAAAAAAAGGGAAAAAAAATCATTGATCCTGAAGGTAATCATGGACAACATAGCACTATATCAAAGCCATTGTCGTACTTGAGATAAAGTAAATATCAAATGAGTAGACTGGCAAAAGAACCTAACCAAAGGATGCGTAAAACCGGTGGCACAGTAGTATTTCTTATAAAATTTTAATGACAATATATCATTGAATACTTCCTAGAAGCCCCTCACCTCCGGGATGTAGATCTCCAAAGTCTCGTCGTGTTGTGTGTCTTCGTTAGTTCTGCGTGATGTGAAAAAGAATTTTTTCACTTGCTCGGAGGCGACTCCATCGGACATTAGGCCGTGCGCGGATGGACTCGTGTTGAACCAAATATTTTCCTCTAAACCTGGCATTACTGAACGTCTCTGCGTCCACATTAATTACCCCCGTCGTCAATCATAATTAAGTGTTTCTCAGAGAAGCCTTCCGTTTTACAAATACGTATATTCGAGTCGAATGGTATTACGAAAAATTAGACTTTATGTTGTCGTCAGTTGTACCGTGCCTGTTGGAAGCTGCGCGAGCGCACCCCGACCTTTAGCAAGCTCGCACTATTCATTGTGTTTGATTGCATTTTATCGCGTTCTATGTATATATTCGCCTGTTATCGGTCACGCTCGTAAGGGCACGCGTCTTTTCGAAGTTTAGGAAGCGACGTGGTGATTTTGAAGCTTATAATATGTTTACCTTGAGAAAGCTCGACTTCCATCCTCTGAAAACTTTTGCATGGCTGTGAAGCAAAATCGATGCACAAGCCAGTTCCTTTATTGATAATATACCGTTTGATAGACATTCGTCCTGCAGTGAGAGTAATGTGTAGCGACGATGATATCCCCTGCGTCTATGCGAATTAAAGAGAATTCTCTTCTCAAAACATTCTATGTTGGAAATGGGCCAGGTATCAATGGGATCGTTCAGGATTAATATTGCACTTTAAACGGGGCACCGGGCCCTGTAACACATTTGGCCAGCAGTGAGCGCAAACCATGTCTGGATTAAAGATGGAGGAGCCTGGCAATGAGAAGTGCTTGTCAAGAAGACGTTCGGCTGCATTAAGGGCTTTTAAAGTTAAAGACGAGCGTGTTGCAACTTTCAAGAAGGTACGCTCGATCACTTTCATTAATACGGATTTAATCTTTCTCCGTAACGTATGTTTCATATATTGCTGGTCGTAAACTGGCACCCGGCTGATTCCTCGCTTCTACAACCCATAAACAAATGTTGCAGTTTCGTCGTTGTGTTCTTGCAGGTTGCTGCTATCCTTCAAAAATCAGAAACTGACAGATCACTGGAGGAGAATGAGATCCTCGCGTCATGTGGAGACGTTGTCAAGGAGGTTAACCTAAGGTATAACAATGTTTTTTTTTGTTTTGCACATACAAGAATTGATGGATGCCAAAGATTGGAAGAGGTCAGAATGCACTACGGATGGAGTTACTTGACATCCACATGATATTTGTTTTTGTAGACAAGAAAAGAGGGATCGTGTAAAGGCAAGATTAGAAGAAATCGAAGATGCTCCTGAGATTCTTGAAGAAAAATGCATGAGATTGGCTGCTGCCATAAGTCGGGCATCATCTCTTGCTGTGTATACAGGAGCAGGTATCAGCACAGCAGCATCCATACCAGACTATAGGGGTACTAATGGAGTGTGGACAAGAATGCAACAAGGAAAAGACATTGGGTGTGTATTAAAACTGTAATTTCTTAAATGATGCACCGAAAACTAATGTTTATGTAGGATAACACATATTGATACTACTTGATAGGAATCATGATCTAAGCCAGGCAGAGCCCACACTCACACATATGGCCCTATACGCCCTTTACAAGGCGCGGGTATTGAAGCATATCGTTTCACAAAATTGTGACGGTCTACACCTGCGCAGTGGCATTCCGCGTACCCTACTCTCAGAGGTACACGGGAACATGTACGTCGAAGTCTGTCGAATGTGTAAGCCGTCCCGCGAGTATTGGAGGCTATTCGACGTAACAGAGAGAACAGCACGATATTCCCATCGCACTGGAAGATCATGCCACAAGTGTAATTCCATATTGCAGGACTCGATTGTTCATTTTGGTGAGAGAGGTAATCTTCCCTGGCCGATTAATTGGAACGGGGCGAGTAGAGCTGCGAAGCAGGCGGACGTGATACTGTGTCTTGGCTCGAGTTTGAAAGTTCTGAAGAAGTATCCTTGGCTTTGGCAGATGGACAGACCAGTCCACAAGAGACCCTCTCTCTATATCGTGAACCTTCAGTGGACTCCCAAAGACGAGAATGCCGTGCTCAAGATTAACGGGAGATGCGACGAAGTCTTGGCCAAGGTCATGTTGCATCTCGGAATCGAGATTCCACATTACAACCGGGCAAAGGATCCCATCTTTCACCATGCCATAAGACTGCAAGTCGGCGAACAGCTGACGACTACTCAGCCGTGTCTCGAGGAACCATCGAGCTCCCTCATGAGGGACTCTGTAAGTTCTGTGGCGGATGGAATACCCGAGGAAACGATACCAAAAACCGAAGAAGACTGCGAGAACAGAATAGCGCTTGCTGAGCCAATGACTGCATATCCAGCTCCATTTTTTGCTGCGCTACCCTTCCTATCCATGGGCTTACCATTCCCACCAATTTATATGTATCCCCAGCTCACGCCACTTTTCTGCTATCCCTTTATGCAGGCATCTGCAGTAGTCGAGGAGCCGCCTAAACCGGTACCTGCTTGTACATTTTGCATGGAGTACGAGGGATCCCTTACGTGTCTCTTTTATCAGCGTAACGGTGACGATCCCGTCAGCATGGAGCCTCTGGTGACGGAGACGGAAACGGAGAACGACTCTAATCTAGAACAACTTCAGGAGACCGACACCCTTGTCCTAGACTCCGGCACACCGATAGCCACCGCTAAAAATCCCGGATGGTTCGGCAAGGGTTATCGTAAGGGCATGAAAAGAAAACGGTAGCCTCGACTGATCGCTTTGTGGCGTGCGGATTTAGTCGCCGCACTTCCTTTCGTGTACGATACAGCACGCTGTCAAAAAAGAGTACGGTGTAGTCGTACGAAGATCACACGTGAGTCAGAAGAATAGCCCAGGTACCAGGACGCTGTAACGTCTTCAAGATGTCGCAGACATTCTGTTAAGATGCTATGGAGTGTCGATGTCAGTGAAACGTTCCTACGAACTCTCAGAGGGTATTTCGAAATTGTTTACTTCTGTCGCATTGCGTGAAGTAAATGAACTAATACGGATAACGACGTACGTCGATAGAGTATTAGGCAGACATACGTGATCATTATGCAATCTTGAGCTTTAATACGATAACCGTGTATACGTATCAGCGCACATTAATAGGATCATTGAACATTTGAAGTAGACTGTTCTCGTGAGGAATACGAAAGTGTCCTAAAAAGTTTAGTAGGTCTCCTGCTCGGAGTATCGTTCATCCTCATAAGACGTAAAATGCAGGTCGGCTCTGGCATCTTTATCCTTATTTCTTTTTTAAATATATTAAAAATTCAAACGTGTATTAGTACCCGCAGGATAATGATATTTCGACGGACATTCAATCAGTGTTTCGACTAATCGAGATAGCTTGCTTTTTTACGTTATCATTTTAACCATTTGTAAATTGGTTAATTTTGTTATTTATTTTATAAAATTAAATAAGCCTCACGCCACACATGCTTACGTGTGATATTCCACGTACTCTGTGTATTTTATTTTGATCTTTAAGTGGCCATTGGCGTGATTAACCACTACGTTACTTTATTGTTTAAGCGTTACCTAGATTATTTATTTAGACACATAAAGATATGCATATGCATATACATATACGTATTACGCTCGGAATAACGATTTATATTCAAGTCCGTACATATGTATCGCACGCGTGTACGTCTCTTGCGTTCTCTACAGAGCACCAAGTGCTCCATTCCAACAGCGCGCAGCGTCGCCATGAAAATGCTGTAGCAATATTCTGTTAGATTAACCCGTTTACGCCCAAACTGGCATAAAAGTTTTTCATTTTTCAACAGTTATACTTTTAAGGTAAAAGTTATTCAATCTTGATGAAACTACATGTCTTTATGTATTTTTGTCTGCTCTTTCTGAATCTGACCTCAGATTGACGTTATTTGCCGCCATTTTTAAAATACGGCAGTTTAAATCTGAAAAAAGCAAAAAATTTCATATTTTTTTTCAAATAATCATGAATCTGAACCAGATTCCGTTATCGGAGGGCGATAAAACTCTGGATCGGGTGGAATACGACCTTATACTAAAAGATAGGATTATTAATTTATTGAAATTCAAAATGGCGGTCATTGAAACAGCTGTTTTTATACATGAATTTAATGAAAAGCTTTGCAATTTTTTTTCTCGGAAAGTATTAACTTTAATTCTAATTACTTCTAATTAATTCTAATTACTTTTTGTTCTACTTGTTCTGTTCGAAATGATCTCTGTCGAATCAGCCACCTTTATATATGAATGTAATACAAATCTTTGCGCTTTTTTTTACTCTATGAAAATCAACTTTACAAAAAAACTTTATAGAACAAAAAGTAATTAGAATTAGTCAAAGAATACGTGTGAATTTTTTCAGAATTTTTTGGATAACTTTTTGATTTTTCGAAAAATCGACAATTCCAAAAATCAAAAATTATTTTAAATATTCTGAAAAAATTCAAGCGTATTCAATTAATTTTAAGAACTTTTTAATCCATAAAATTTGTTCGTGAAGTTCATACTTTTCGAGAAAAAAAATTGCAAAGCTTTTCATTAAATTCATGTATAAAAACAGCTGTTTCAATGACCGCCATTTTGAATTTCAATAAATTAATAATCCTATCTTTTAGTATAAGGTCGTATTCCACCCGATCCAGAGTTTTATCGCCCTCCGATAACGGAATCTGGTTCAGATTCATGATTATTTGAAAAAAAAAATGAAATTTTTTGCTTTTTTCAGATTTAAACTGCCGTATTTTAAAAATGGCGGCAAATATCGTAAATCTGAGGTCAGATTCAGAAAGAGCAGACAAAAATACATAAAGACATGTAGTTTCATCAAGATTGAATAACATTTACCTTAAAAGTATAACTGTTGAAAAATGAAAAACTTTTATGCCAGTTTGGGCGTAAACGGGTTAAGGGCATACTCTTGCGAGTCCTAAGAGCGATAATTCTGGGTTGGTTCTATTGGTTGCATCATGCGATTGGATAAACTCGCGGCACTAAGTGGGTGTGTTATTAAGAAAATTTTCTCAACATTTTCATGGTGACCGAACAAATTTTGTATTTTTAATTTATTGACTGGTTGTATCAATCCGTGATGGATAATGGTCTTTTTTTTCAGAAAACATGTCCAACTGCCTCGTTCCCAAGGGCTTCCTAGTATCTTTAAGGAAAATTATTAAGTCAATGAGATTCACAAGCGGTGAGAATTGTGCAATCAATTAGAATTCTTATTGGGGTTACATAGAGTCAGCTCTTATTAAACACCAGCTGAAAGCAGCTCTTAAAATTACATAAATTCTAGTATTAATTATTTAGAAAAGTCCTACGATAACCTATAACGTTTGTTTCTTACTAAACAGTTTAATTTTGAGACTTTAAACTTGTCAGCTCTTGCGATAGCCAAGAATCGAGGTTCTACAGACGAGCCTGATTCGGAGCGCTCCAGTTTAATGATAAATGGTAAAGTCGACTGTTGCGTAAATCGAGCGATTCCGGACAGCCGAAAGACAATGATCGTGTCCAGCAAAAACAGCGTTAAAGGGAGCGAGTATATTCTAATGGTCATGTGATCATATATCTTGCAACAGTTGCTAAATTTCTTCAATCAAATGTATTTATTTTTCTCCCTCAGCGCTGTTTCTGATGAACGCAGCCAGTGTCGTCGCAAGGCAGCCGCGAGTTCTGCTCTAAATTCTAGGGCTGCTTACGATATCAAGGGGAACGGCAGGCCATTGACCTTTGCGTGATAAAGGCGAGCGAGTAACCAATATCGTTTCTCCCGGAAGATCACCGCGGCTGACAATGACAGTGGCAAGTCAATATATTCGAGAGACAATGCGTGATGGAGACCAACTGGAATCCAGGTTATTTTTTTCATAACGAGAGACTACGTATACATGGAACGGCGGCAGGATCAGTGGCGGCGAATACGAGGACAATCGATATTGCGGGGCTAGAGCTCTGGGGGCCTAAGGGGAATTGGGAATTGGGAATTGGAATGGGCTGCTGTGACGAGGACGGTGCGGTCCTCGCGTCCGCGTTCGTCTACGGTCATGCTTCGAATAAAACTATGCGTTCTGTGAGTATATCGACTTGTTTCGCATCCTGTGAAGGAGGAGCGGTGACCACCTCGGAAAATGGAGACTGACGCACCGCTCATGGCACTTGCTCAATAGACCGTGTCGGATGTCGTCTCCGAGTCGGTCGGTAAGGTTGCGAATCCACGGAGGGACGCCATCGAGGAGACAGCACAGGGTTGCGCAAGTACACGAACACGTTGCTATCGTCCTACGTTTGGACCTATAAATAGTGGCGAGTGAACGCTAAACGTAGTAGAGAGACTCGTGGAGAGAACGGCGTCGTTGCTGCTGCCAATGTGACGAGCGTGCTCTAGGGCGAAACAAAACGAGACAGATTGAAGAAGAAGAGTCGAGATGAATAGATAGATAGATAGATAGATAGAAGAGGGAGAATGAAGGGAAAAAGGAGGAGTGTAAGAGGTACGATAGTTCGTTTCCATGGTGACTCCCCTTGGCATCAGCCTGCCTTAAGACTGCTTCCTCTTTGGTACTTTTGTGCGATATGTACTACGTGACGCCCTGGTAGCGCAGAGCGCAGCGTACTTTTTACTTTCTCCAGACTTCTGCGATCGGCGGCATCTTGGTGCCGGAAGAGCGGAATCGCAGACCGAGTGTCGTCAGGAATAATATTTTCTCAGTGTCTTTTCGCTTTATCCCTCACGAATCCTATGATCTTTCCTAGCCACTCGTTTTTCATTCTCGCGAGACACTCGCGTCAATTATCGGCCACTTGCTGTAGGCAGCTATTTGCTTTTCTTTTTTTTTATTCACCCTATCTCTATTACCCACGCATAATATTGGAAGCGTACACCTGCACGAGAATTCTTTAGCGCGACGTTCTCCAGTCCCCAATTTATCCATTCTTTTACCGACGATATTTCATCACTTTGCTTCTCGTTACTAACTGTTCTAGCTTCCAAGTTCCATGGAGAGTCTGCAAACGCTTCGATCAGGTTGAATTAGACAGACCCGAAGAATCCAAATCATCAGAGTAATATGACCATGCAGATGCGATAGCTAATGATAATTTCTCACGAGATTATCAAATGCATTGAAATATGTAAGAACGACTTGATACTCTTGAGTAATTAACGTTAATTAGCCTCTATTGTTATTTCGCTCTCTGTTGTTGTCAACCTGACTCTATTAGCCCGATTTTGATACAAGAGGTCCATTCGAGGCAATGTATTTTTATTTACATCTTTACGTGCACTTCGGGATCATAGGCATAGTATGCACGACGTATAATTGCATTCGGCAAAGCACTGTGTTACGAAAACCTCTATAAAAAATGGTATTTGATTATGCGAAACCTTGTGTGCCTTCTTCGAAAGAGAATCAAAAAGATCCTGGATCTGGATCGACACAGTTTTAAGTTTTAACGCACCGTGGACGAAACTTCCTTATTATTGATTCCTGGTAGCCAACAACTATCTAATCTCTTTATTTGACTGATTGTGAGCTATCTTTAGCTCTCCTTCTATCCCTTTTCCGAATTATTGCTGTTGCTCGATGCACGTATCGACGTTTCCAAAAAATTCGAACAAGACAGCAGTACAAACAACCGCTGCTGCGTACATATTTTAAGGTGGAATTATTATCGGCCCTCCGTAAAATCTGTTACAGGGGAAACAAGATTAAGGTAAGGAGAAATAGCAAGAGAATCATCCAAGGAAAATCACGAAAAATTTAAAACTCTTAAAGCTCGCCGTCAATTTCGAGTCGGGTTGACGCAAATGCCTTGCTAATACAGCTGTACATACGAGGGGATGTCTCGCAATGTCGACGTCACAACGCTTCTCGCCTCGTGAGCGCAAAGTCCGTCTTGTCTCTCAGGAATCGATGGTATTCTCGCTGCTAAGTTATTGTCTCTTACTGGTATGACATATTTACTCTTTGATGATAAAGCCGGTAAAGAAAAGGAAGGAAGCCTTTTTTCCCCATTGCAATCCTTCCATTATCGTTTATGTGGAATCTAGAGGCAATTTCATAAGATCTTGTGGATTCAAACGTTGAAGAAAGATGATTTCTATCCTATATCAAAATCAGGCCAACTGACAATGAGTCGAGTAAAGTCAGGCGGTATTTTGTAGTCGTCAACAGTCACGGCCGCCAGAGCACGCTACTCGATTAGTATACGCATGTGGTGGTAGAGTATCTTTCAAAATTGAGTGCCAGTATAGCGATCAAGATTGCGTCCTTGCCTCCCTCTCAGTTGCATAGGGCAAAAGAGAGACAATAGTTGTTCGCGATACTGGCAGTGAATTTCGGGACATAGCCTTACATGAGGCAACGCTTGTATGTAAATACATACATATGTACAAACACGCGTTGCGGCGCAGGTAGTCGGGTAATGCCGGTAATGCTGAGCAGTGCTGAGTAACGCTGGGG